GATTGCAATCTGGAGAATTAGGGGGCCAAATATCAGGACCCCAGTGACTAGGGACGTTAAGTGTCAGCCACGATTGTGTATTTTTTGCCTTATGGGCTGGAGCTGAGTCCTGTTGGAAGACATACTTCCTTCCTGCGGCCACCATGTCCATCCAAGGCTTCACAACGGTCTCCAGAACATTGATGTAGGTGTCAGCGTTCATCCTAAGGCCCTTCTCAAAGAAATGGGGAGGCATGACATCACCTTCACTGCTGATAACGCCAAGGACCATTACGGAGGCAGGAAATTTCGTGTGCATCACGACAGGTATCTCTGAGGGGTCTTTACAGATCCAGCGATCATTCCTGGGATTTACCTTTTGGTCCACGTCAAAGTTCTTTTCGTCAGAGAAGAAGTTCTTTAATATCTGGTTTTCGAAACTTTCGAATTTTTTCAGTGTAGTTTTGTTTGTGGTTATGAAGACTGGGTGGCCGTAGGTTAGGATTGGTCTTATAATAGACGTGTATATGGTACGTTTGCAGTGTAGGGATAGTTTGCTCTTGTTCCCTAAAAATAGTGCTAGTCGGTGCTATGCTGCTTTTGTGAGGTTTATTCGGTTTTGCACGTGTTCTTGGAAGGTCAGGTGTTGATCAAGGATGACGCCCAGGTAGCGGACGCTGTCCTTCCATTTTATGGATTCATCAGGGTAGCCTAGATCTTCTAAGGGCTTCTTCACTTTTAGTCTTTTATCTGAGAAGACTATAGCTTCGGTTTTTTTGTGGGTTCAATTCAACCCGCCATTCGTCGCACCAAATATTAACGAATACCAGTGCTTCTTGAAGTTTGAGATAGATGGTATCGAAGTTGAAGGCTGAGACTAGAGTTGCGGCGTCGTCTGCATATAGATGTAGGGACATTCCATTGGGGCAAGGGTAGTCGTCAATAAAAATATTGAAGAAGGTGGGGCCGATGACTGACCCTTGAGGGACTCCTGCTCGAATTTTTCTTGGGGTTGACAGAACATCTTTGACTTTTACTCTAAAGTTTCTGTCACAGAGGAAGCTTTTTGTCATTCGGATGATGTCTCCAGGTAGGTTCTTTTTTGCCATTTTATACAAAAGGGCCTCATGCCAAACTTTGTCAAATGCCTTGGAGATGTCAAAGAAGATGCCTCCTGTTAATTGTTTTGATTCCATGGCCTTTCTTATCTTCTCCGTGACGACCACAAGTTGATGAAGAGTTGAGTGTTTTTGCTGAAACCCGAATTGTTCGGGCCTGATGGGGATGTTCGTCGCTGAGTGCTTTTTTAATTCTTCTTAAAATGATTCTTTCGAATAGTTTGGAGGTGACAGGTAGGAGGGAAATGGGTCTATAACTTGCTGGGTCGTACTTTGATTTACCTTGTTTTGGTATGGGACAAATAATCGATGTTTTTCAATTGTTCGGGAAGTATGCGAGTTTCAATGAGGCATTAAAAGTGCTGGTTAGTGATTCGAGAATATGGTTGGGCAGTAGTTTTGGCGCTTCGTTCGTGATTCCGTCGATGCCTGGGGCTTTTTTCTTAGGGGAGGTGTCAATTATTGCTTTGATTTCTCCAATGTTAGTGGGTTCCAGGGCTGTTTTGTTGTTTGTTTGGAGGTGTGCGGTGATTCTTTTGTGCAGATATATGTTCGAATATGAGGAGGTAGGAGGATTTGGGCTGAGCTGCTTTTCATAGGAGTCAGCAAGTGCTTCAGCTGCCTCCTCGGCTGTTAGTGTCAGATTGTAATTGGTTTTCACGATAATTTCTTCTTTCTTTGGGGCTGTGAGGCGTCTAATGGCCTTCCATACTGTCTGATCAGATACGTCAAGGTTTTCTATGTAGGTGTCCCAGCTGGTGTTGTCGTGTTCTCTAGTAAGTTTTTGTGATTCTCTTCGTGCGGAAATGTACGCTTTTTTGTCGTTGGGGTCGCAAGTCTCTTTCATTTTTTTTCTTAGTCTGTTAGTTTTTCGTAATTTTTCTTTGATGTGGGCTGGGTACTTTCTATCGAGGTCTTGTTCTTTATATTTTGTGGACTTTTGTAGATTTTGAATGATTTGGTCCTCAATGGAAGCTATGGAGTCGATTATTTCTTGCGGAGTTTCTGCGGTGTGCGCTGGGGGTTGGGTATTTTCCATTTGGTACTTAAAGAGGGCCCAGTCGATGATTTTGATTGTTGTGTCGGAGCGGGTTATATTATAGTTTTGTAATATTAGAAGGACTGGGAGGTGATCAGACGTCATCTCGTGGAGGACTTTTGAGTGAACGGTCTGACTCAGATTTTTGTGGATTGCGATGTCCAAGATGTCGGGTGGTGAGTCATGTGTCGGTTCATCTGGGTAGCTTAAATCCAGGTTGAGGCATTCGACAACCTTTTGTAGGATCTTGCCATTTGGATTGGTGGAGAATGAACCCCAGGTTGGATTCTTGCAGTTGAGGTCTCCGGCTAGGATTGTTGGAGTGTTGGTTTTGAATATATTGTAGATGTCCTTTGGGTCAAGAGGCGTGTTTGGGGGCTTGTAGCAGGAGTATATGTTCATTGTTGTTCCATTTTTGTCTTTGATTGTTATTCCTGTTGTTTCCAAATTCAGGCAAGTGCTTTGGATGGGAACACAGTAATATTTCTTATGGATGAAAATTGCTGTGCCTCCGCCCTGTCCAGACAGTCTGTCATTCCGAACGGTGTTGTAGTTGGGGATGTTCATCCTGTGACAGGGTTTGAGCCAGGTTTCGGAAATTAGAGCTATGTCTATGTCGTGGTCGTTCAGAAATTCAGTGAATTGTTGCCTTTTATTCCGAAGGCTACATGCGTTCCAATGAATGATTCGGAGTTTATTCTTTTTGTCTTTTGCGTTCATTGAGAACCGATGGTGGCGAGAACGTTCCTCACTATGGTGGCAATGATCTTTGGATCGCTGAGAGCCTTTTCGATGGCACTCTCGATGGGGCTTTGCTTGGAGGTTTTCAGGGGAATACTTTTAGGTTGGTTTACGCAGGTTTTTTCCTTATTTCCTGTGGTTTGAGGGATTTTTGCATTGATAGGTACCTTGGAAGGTTCTTTTTGTGCATTAGGGCGTGGGTTCTTTTGACTGGGTATATCCTTATTTATTTTTTGTAGAGTGGACAACCACGCCAGTTTGCCGTGTGCTGACCCTGGCAGTTAGCGCATTTTGGTAGGACTTCTTTTTGTTTAGAGCATTCGGAGGTGAAATGGTTCTCTCCGCACTTGACACATTTGGGGGTTTCTCTTTGAATGTCCAAAGTTTTGACATCTGTGACATTGGCCTGGACCTTTGGGGGCTCTATAGGCCTCGACTCGGCACTTCATGTCGCAGATATCCGTTATGTTGTAGATATCTTTGTTCTTAGGCGCTTTGGGAAGAGTAACCTGGATTAGTGGGAGCTCTTCCTTTGTTCCCGCCCTGCGTAGTCTGACAATTTTTGTCATATAAAATCCTTTGTTATCTAAGTCCTCTTGGATTTCAGGAATCGTAATGCAGCAGTCGAGGCCCCTGACTACAATTCTGAGGTTTTTTTCTTCGTCAAGTATTTTAAAATGGAATGTGTAGTGACGTTCTTCTAGCCACCTGGTTGCTGTGCGGTAGTCCGTCACCGAATGAGTCTGGACGTTTATGTGGCGCCCAGATGTGGAGAATTCAGGTTTTTTCTGCGTGCAGTTAATGAGTCCTTCTCTTAGTCCAAACCATTCAGTTACCCCACTGATTTTGATCGGTGGTATTCTTATTTTTGGGTTAGGGGTAGGGTTGTTAGGTTCTTTATCTGGGTTTTCCATGTCTTTGTTGGGCGGGTTCGATTTTTTAGGGTTCTGTTTGGGGTTTGGGTTCCTATTTGGAGTGACTTCGATTTCCATATCGATGTTTTCTTTAGCTTGTGGTTTTTCTGGCTGTTTATTTTTTGATGTTGGTTTAGAGTTTGTGGGAGCTCTTGAAATCTGTTTGGGACACCAGGCAATATTTTGCGTGGCATGTGATTCTTTTATGGCTTCTGGGGATGTTACTCTCGGGCGCTTCAAAGGAGCTTTGCTTGTATTTTCAACAAATTCTGAACGAATTTCTTTTAGTTCTCTTTCATAGAAGTCGAGGAAATTTATTAGCTCAGCGAAGGTGCTTTCAACAGAGCTACAGAAATTTTTCATAGCTTTGGAGTCTTCTTCGTTCTTCTTTCTCGGGCATTCTGTCAATTTCCAGATAGAATAGTTTCGTGTGCCTACCGGGTATCTGGGGTTGGTAAAATTAGTTTTGGGGGCTTCTGGTGCAGGGAGGTCTTCCATGGTTCGGGGTTTTCGCGTGGGACTCGATTTTCATCGGGACGTTTCACAAGAGTGACATCCACGGCGCCAATTTATAATTGTAACGAATAGTATTTGAATAAAAACATTTAATTGGGTAAAACCCGGGCGTTGCCCAGGTCATTCGGCTAGTATATATATATTTTTTAAATAGAGCAATCCATAAATAAATATTTAATTAAAAAGGCTAAAATGGATCAAAAAGGTAAAACAAATGATTTTCGATCCAATATATGCCTTTTTAATTAAATATATATATATATATTGAAAAAATGTTTGCATAAAAGGAAATCTAATTTTAACTGAAAATGTAATATCAAATGATTATTACAAGAACTCTCTATTAGGAAAAGAGACTACTGTGTGTACAAATATTAAGACACCTTCATGACCTTTGTGAAAAACAGTCAAGACAGCGGCTTTGTCCAGTCTCTGGCCACAGTTATAGTCGCGCTGAATTCTTTTTTCAATCCTGGATCTTGCCCTGGTGTGGGGTTGCTGAGTGAAGGTTAAAAAGAATGATAGTCGTGTTTCTTCAGCCACCATAGTTTTTTTTTTTTTTAACAACAAGTTTTTAATTTTCCCTATTAGTCTTTAAATAGATTTGATTGCATATTTTAATTATATCCCTTTTGTGCTCTTAGTTGTATTTATTAACTTTAATAATTTAATTTTTTAAGTTTCTTTGTTCAACTAAAAATCGGTGGTTAATTCTCTTTTGACAATTTTTGCTAGCTAGTACACCTTTAGATATCTACATGTGCCATAGAGTAACCGCACTTCTGAGACACTTAGGGTTTTCTTTTTATAATTGTTAAGATAGGAAAAAGTTGATATTGCAGTTACTTACAAATTTCTTAACTAAACATCATGCAGTTCGATTTTCTGCTTGCGTTGTTTAAGTCTCGAGTACAAGACCTTGGTGTCTATATGTAATATGACTGCAATGTGTGACTGGTTCTCTAATTGGTTGACAAGGTAATATAGCAACAATCTTAACAATAACATAGCCAAATTTATAGATGAAATATCACAGCCTTCATCTCAATCCCTCTTGGCTATGTATTTATTTGTCTTCTGCTACACTATCAGCCACACTCACTAATCAATTATAGTGCCCAAATCTTTCTTCACATATATCAGATAAGTAACTCCACCGCAGAGATAAAATAATTATCATTGAAATATATTTTTTAAAGCTATTTTCTTTTTATCAACATCCATACCAGCAAATCAAACCTCACCCATGGAATGCCCCTTTACTTTTATAGTCGCGGAGCTTCTTATGCATAAGGTTGATATGTGTATGATTCAATTTCACTAACAGGAAATTACTCTTTAAAACGATATACAGATGATTTTTTACTCTTATGTCTACTTATTTGATTGTGCTGCTCTATCTGAGGAAAGACGAAAACTAAATTATAAAACGGGCAACTTTGTCCTTCATTTCCGGCACTAATTAATGAAATATCAAAGAATAAGTATATAGCGGTGGCGATATTTGGATTCCACAGGATCATATCCCGGAAAAAGGCCACACAGTGTTCTCCCCATCCCTTATGAACTGGCGAATCCTGTATAGGGCGAGAGGCCCTAAATAAAGGCTTTGTTGTTGTTGTCTTACTCTTATGTACTAAACACTTTGAGGACAACATTATAAATACACTAAAAAGCTATCACGCAGATTTATCCTTGTAGAGTTGTGATTTCATACTAAGTTAAGTGTTCAGAATTTCCAATAAAATTTTCAAACTGTATCACCTGCCAGAATGGAAACAGAGGAGCCAGCAGAAAATGAACCACGTTACTTGATAAGCCAGTGATGGGTCATACCACTTCTCAGTAGGGGCACATTGGATCTGTGAATATGAATTCCTGTCATTAAAAATAGCTCACCCACAGATATATTGGATAAAACCAAGTTCAGTGATATGCGGCGATCCACTTATGCAGATGAGGCAGACAGGCGTCAAAGGTCTGAGCAATCTCGGAACCTTTGAAATAGTGGTTAAAAATCTCTAAACTACAAGCATACACAAATACATAGATCATACATACAACCTTAGGTACCCATCTACACTTTACAGTAATGTCACAAATAAACTCCAACATCTTGCACTCGAGGCGCTGGTTCCAAGGAAACTAAGCAAAACAAAGAAAAATTAAACTTCTTGAGGGTAATAATAGCTTTTTACCAATAACTCACTTGAATAATTATCTGAGCGTACATTTTATCATTTTACATATATAGCTAAACTTTTTAATGTCTTATATACCAATATTTTCTCACTAGTTTAATTTTATTTGAATTTATATTTTCAAACTATAATTATGCGCGCCTAAAAATTACTAAGCGCTTGTTGAAGGATATGTCATGTCCACAAAAGGCTATAATGAATGAATACTCAATAATAAAAGAAATACTTCCTCTTAGTCTTCTCTTTCAGCATTTCAGATCATCTGGGGTTATTATTAAAGATGTATCTTTTTATATGCGTATTTCGAGGACGCAGGACGTCAATTAACGTCTTCGCGAAAATGGCACAGTGCCCGCAGGACGTATATTAACGTCCTACTTTCTTAAAAATCGGTATAAAATCATAGCGCGCGCTACGTCCCGTGGCCACTTGCCCTCCTGCAAGTTTAAACATGCCTCAAGGTCGTTCACCACTTTGCCACATGACAGGGTGGATGGCTGACCAATTAAATTGAGATTTGAGCGCGCGCTTCCTCGAGTTTCCTCCCCTCCCAACCTCTACTGACCTATTTTTAATCTGCCGTCATTTGCCAATTGTACTTTGCTCGCTTCTTCTTGTCACGTTTTTTTTTTTTTTTTTTTGCTTAATATTTTTATTTGAAGTTTCTAGATATTTTCAATAGACATTTTTGGATAAAAATGAATCCTGATCAGCCCAGTACATCCAAAGTTATCTCCTCTTGCCCATCTCCAGAGTGGGAGATTTATGACCCCCATCTTTTTGATTCTGGATCAGAATTAGATGGTTCTTTTGAGGATCCAGATTTCCCACTCCATGCTAACTCTGATGAAGATATTGATTCGGATTCAACAGAAATATATTTTGAGGGACCAAGAGATGAAGAGGCTCCTGCAACAACAAGGTCTCCTCTGGTAAATGATGACTGGATTGAAACTACTACATCCACGATACCCAGACCTCTGTTTACTGCCCAGGGCCGAGTTATTTCCAGAACCCAACTCTCCTTACCAGATATTCAAAAAATTTATTGATGAGGCTTTTTTTGGTAATCTGAAACTTGAGACTAACCGCTATGCTAGGGCAACCATAGACAGAGAAATAAAAAGGGTCCTTTGAATCCTAGGAGTCATTTAGAAATGTGGAAAGCTGTTTCTGTGTCTGAGCTCAAGATATTTATGGCTATAATAATTCACATGAGCCTTGTTGTAAAAACCAGATTGAAAGATTATTGGTCAACCCGCAGTGAACTTAGGACAACTTACTGCAGAGATGTGGGGATGATCAGACCACGGTTTGAAGCCATTCTCTCCATGCTTCACCTAAATGACAACGCTTCCTATGTGGCTTTTATTCAACCAGGCCATGATCCTCTCCATAAAATTAGGACATTCCTTGATCCTCTGGTCCACAAATTCAAAACATATTACTATCCCTGCCAACCTTTGACTATTGACGAAGCTATATGTCCTTTTAGAGGAAGAATATGGTTCAGAATATATATCAAAGGAAAGCCACACAAATATGGGATCAAGATATTTGAACTTTGTGAATCAAGTTCAGGATATGCCTGCAACATAGAAGTGTACACGGGAAGCAGCCTGGTCAAGGTGCAGACTACAATTCGACCTTAAAACTGGTGGAAAGGATAGCGGCTCCGTACTTCAATAGAGGACATGTTATATACTTTGACAGATGGTTCTCCTCTACCACACTTTTTCAATTTCTCTGGAGAAACAATACCCAATCTGTAGGAACAATAAAGAAAAATAGAAGAGGCTTTCCAAAAATAAATTTTCCAAAAAATTGAAAAAAGGAGAGGTAATTTACAGAATGAAAGGTCCTCTTTTGGCATTCAAATGGCATGATACTAGGGACGTTTTCATGGTCTCCACAGCACATGATCATGCCATGATACCTGTAACCAAGAAAGCCAGGAAATCTGACCAACCTCTCACCATGAAACCAGCTGCAGTATTGGACTACAACAAGCACAAGGCTGGTGTTGACAGAAGTGACCAGCTCCTCTCTTACTACTCTTTTCAGCGGAGAACTATGAAATGGTGGAAAAAGCTTTTCTTTCACATCTTTGGCCTGACAATAGTCAATTCTCATATAATTTATAATAAATTAAATCCAACATCCAAACTGTCACTCCGAGACTACCATCTTGTCATTATGGAAAAAATGGTTGAAGAAGCCAGAGTTGAGATCACAGATCAACAACTTGGTAGTTCAAGCTCAAAAGTCAGACTTTTGGAGAGACACTTCATTACAAGAATAAAAGAAGAAAACAAGCCAAATGTAAATATCCAACGAAAATGCAAAGTCTGTGCTGAAAAAGGAAAAAGTGCCACTGGAAAAAGAATAAGGAAGGACACTGCTTATATGTGCAAGACCTGCCTTGTTCCTCTGTGTATAAATGATTGTTTTGAGGCCTTTCACACCAAAAAGAAGTATTGGCTCTAATTGGCTCTTAGAAATGGCCTTTATAAATAGTTTTTCCTAATTTTCAGCATGTTTTTTGTATATATAACATTTGTCTATGTGTTGGAGTGAATTTAGTTTTTTTTTTTAAATATAATTTTTAATTTTTTATTATTTTATTTCTTTATCAAAATTCATTTTATATAGCATTAAAAATAATTTTAAACCTTATATAAATTGGCTTATAAATTTGGCATATATTACAAAAATAAATATATTAAATTTTATTTTTCATAAAAGTGTCGTTTTTACTGCGTCCTGGTGGACCATGAGGTCTGCTTATGCTGCGTCCTCGAAGTGTTAAAACTACAATTAAAATTGGTCTATAGAATTATTTTAATTTTAAAATTAAAATAATTTATTAATAAATATATTTTTTTATTTTCTGTGAAATAATAATAAAAACGAATAAACCACAGATTAACTTCAGACAATATAATTAGAACACTCTGTTTTCTAGAAGTCCGTTACGCCATTGCTATCTTCTCTTTAATTAGACTGCAAAGCTATTAGGAAGCATTCTTCAAAACTCTTTTCAGAAACTTTAATACTTACAACTTCTTAACAATGACTGGACGCGGAAAAGGAGGAAAAGGTCTTGGAAAGGGAGGAGCAAAGCGTCATCGTAAAGTTCTTCGTGATAACATCCAGGGTATCACCAAGCCCGCCATTCGTCGTTTGGCTCGTCGTGGCGGCGTCAAGAGAATTTCGGGTCTGATTTATGAAGAAACCCGAGGAGTGCTCAAGGTTTTCCTCGAGAACGTTATTCGGGATGCTGTCACCTACACCGAACACGCAAAGAGGAAGACTGTGACTGCCATGGATGTTGTTTATGCCTTGAAACGCCAAGGACGTACCCTGTACGGTTTCGGAGGCTAGAGGAACCAATCCCCTGTCAATCTTCCAGTATGTATCATTTTTGGAACCTATTTTCTCAATAAATTTTAAGAACTTTTTTTTTTTTACTTTTTTAAAAGTGAAATTTAATTCTTCAAGAGTCATTGATATTTTTTTGTACTTTCAAGTTTAATAGGATTTTTTTTTTCTTGTAAAGCGAGTTTTCTTCACCCAAGTATTCATAAAAAAATTTTATGTAGTCATTGTGAATGTGCTCCCTTTGTCTGAAAAATTCATGCTTTTAAAAGTTTAAATAAATCTAAATAATCGACCAACCCAGTTTTCCCCCTTTAATTTTTGGAACATACACGTCATTATTTGGTCTTATTCGGAACATGTAGTAATTGTAAGTAGCCATGTATGTAGTAATTTTAAATCTTTTTTTTTTTTTACTCAACTAAAATATTTTATTTTTGCATATCAAAATTTTATTTTTTACACATTAATGTATGCAACCTATTTTAGCATGTTTTAAAAGATCTAGCTTTAAAGTGACTTGGCAAAAAAAAATTTACTAGTTAACACAAGTACTTGTTGGTTATTATGCAGATTTTTTCAAAATGCCTTCTAATAAAATTTTTGCATACTTATAGCTAGGCAATTTGTGTTACTTGACATAGAAATTTCAAGTTATGATTTTGAATATTTCTATGGACAAGTACCATGTTTACTAACCTTAAACTGAAACATACCTAATCCCATTGACTATCACTTTGTTAGATTAGGGTTAGTAAAGAAGGGAACTAGTCCAGAGAGGCCTCCCAACTAAAATGTTAGATTATAAAATACCAAAAAGATGTTTAATAACAATGCATTTAACACCATTGTTTTCATATTAGCAATTTTTCTATTACCCACAATATTTTATAGGTCAAGTTACTTTGCTATAATTTTCTCAAGTTTTTCAAATTTAATTTTTTTTTTTTTTATAATCCACAATTACTTAAAATTTCAGGTTTTAATAAAATGTAACTCTAGAAGTATAAAAGTTTTGTATTTCAACAAGTGTTAAAGGTACCAAATATGTTGGATTACTTGGGATTTGACCATTTTTAAATGTCACATAACTATAACAACTTTGAATATAATCTAAGTAAAATGGACAAATAAGTAAATGTATAATTTTTGTTACTACCATCAACAAATTCTATTAAATATTCCAGGTTGTAACTATGGTTTTGCATACATTAAGTTTTGTTAACATTATATTCTAATGTAGACACTACAAATTGAAATTTGTATAATTAAGTGTTTGTTAACATTATTTAAAGCAATTTAGATTACAGCTAAGAGATCTTTTGCCAGAGTTGAATATCGCACTCTTTAAATCTAGTATATGATGTGCTTGTAACTATCCTTTGATTGGAATTGTAAAATTACTTTAATGGGAGGTATTGATAAAGCTTCATTTTAAAAATATATTTTCTCAAGGTAATAAAACCAAATCCAAACAGTTTGTAAATTTATTTGTATTTGGTCTTATTACCTTGTGTTTATGATCTATAATCCAAATTGTGCCTTATCAAAATATATTTTGCCATTGATGGCCACTTAACTGCCTAGTTATTGCTTTTAAAGCTGGTCATTCTATGGTAAAGGACAATTTGTATTATAGGTAATAACTCTGTGATATTTAGGACTTTTACCTGAAATTGGTGACAAAGCTGTTTATTGGTCTATATTAGGTACATGGGTAAGATTTGACTAAAAGTATTCATGCATAATGGCTAAATAGTTTTTTTTTTTAAGACCTTTAATGTAGATTTAAAACTAATATAAGAAAAAAATGTAGATAAGGTACAATGTGCCTATTATAAATATTTTTCCCATAATGCCAGACCATATAGGGTTAATAGTAGTCCAGCCCTAAATAAAGGTCAATTGAGGCCAAAAGTTAGGCCAGAAATAGATCTTCACTTTGGGAAGAATTGCAGAAAAATGAAGCCCATTATAATAGCTCTCTAAACTATATTTCAAATATAAATGCTGGACCAGTTGTATCATAGCAGGAAAATGTGCTCCAGGAATGTATGATGGAAATTTTGGATTCACCCCAGTAAGATTGCCTTTCAATGAACAGAGTATAAAGAATACATTGTGTTGGGCCAGGAATAGAATTACCAACTGGGAAGATTGGAATGTATTTAGCTGTTGTTTCAGTGTTGGCAAAAATATAGATGATAATGGTAAAAATAAATTGTTTAGTTGTTAAAACAACTTGCTTTTTTTACAAACTCATTTAGGTCTAGATCAACATAATAAAGTGTCATGTCATCACAATTGATATAAACCAATCTTTTTAAATGTTTACTATAGCTTAATGTGTGGCATTTTTGCATTTTGTGAGTAGAGCTGCATGCAACTCTTTCAAACTAAAAAATTCAATATACAGTATGGTTAAAATTTTACACAAATACATCAGTAGTGAACCCTCTCAGCGGTTTTGCCAAATTAATCTCTAGACCGCTCTACTATTGTATTGGATTGGTTTGGAGTATACCCTGTATCTTCTATGGAAGGCAGCTTAGGGGTGTTTAGTGAACTATGGACATAAAGGTCTGTAGAAAGCTTATGTCCATAGTTCACTAAACACCCCTAAGCTGCCTTCCATAGAAAATATAGGGTATACTCCAATACAATAGTAGAGCGGTCTAAAGATTAATTTGGCGAAACTGCTGAGAGGGTTCACTACTGATGAGCTCTCTCATTCAATAATTCATATCATCTCTGCCTTTGCCGGTCCCAAGCCCGGATGAAAAAGGAGGAGGGGGAGCAGTAACAAGCTCGCTAAAAAACCTGGGTTCAGCTGGCCCGGCTGATAGTACCTTGTAAGGGCTCCTAATCCAGGGATACAGGATGAGCAGTGCTTGTACTCCATGTTAGGAGCAGCTGCATATGGCGCCTGTTCCTCATGTCAGAGGCGGCCATTTCTTTTGGAGCTAAGTCGGCCTGCCACTGAGTAGTGCTCCCAGTCTTAATGACAAAGGCAGACGCATTCTACTTCACCCAGTCATGATGGTCGTCAAACACCATCAAGGGTCACAACTTGATACTCTAATATGATTGAGTGGAGATAAGGAAGAAGAAGAGGTCTGTAGAGATAATATTTGATGATATTTAAAAAAAAACGCATTGCCAGTAAATTTATTTGTGTAAAATTTTAACGATATATGGCAATTTAATTTACTAATACAATATGGTTGAAAGACTTCCTAATACCAAAATTGTATGTGGTCACTTTCTACCAGGTTGGTGGCCACATACAATTTAGGTCTTAGGAAGTCTTTGTATTGGATTTTTTGGTTTCTTGAGAGATTTGCATGTAGCTCTACACATAAAATGCCACACATAGTAACTATAGTAACATTTAAAAAGATTGGTTTATGTGGGGAAAATCCATTGTGGTGACATTAACACTTTATTCTGTTGATGTAGAACTAATGAGTTTGTAAAAAAGCAAGTTGCTTTAACAACTAAACAATTTATTTTAGTAGAGCCAAGATAAACAATCCCAATAAAATCTATCTGTATTCAAAATTTAATACTATTTATGTACAGTAAAACCCCGCTATAACGAACCCTGGATATAACGAACCTTCCCTTATAACGAACCCACGCCGATTCCCAATTCCATTCCATTGAAAATACCATCGTTATAACGAACTTTGCGATTTTTAGAATAACGAACTACCCCTATAACGAACCTATTTCGGGTCCCAAAATGATAAAATCTATTAAAAATACTATGCTTATAACGAACTTAGAATTGTAATAAAAAAAAAATTAAAAAACAAAATTTTGAGCATGTTTAAAGCTCGCGGATCGCGATTTCAAAACAATAAATTTAGCGGCATTGTTTGTTTGATTTTTGCACTTTATTTTTGCTGTATGTTGTATAAATTTTTACACATTATACTTTTTATTAATTAGAATATCTTTGCATCTATTAAATTTTAAATATAAAAAATGCAAATGGCTTCCAAAATGAAGAAAACAAAGGCATTTTAAAAACAAAAGCATTATTTCATTAAAAAAAAAAAAAGGCCATTTTCAGAACTTTTCAAAGTGAAACAACATAGGCGAAATGTTAAGAACATATTAAAATAAGAGAATATAACTTTTCTATTATAAAAGATAAAATATAAAGTTATTAAAAATTGTTACAAAGAGGAATCAACTTTTGCCGCGATCGCGATCGTACGTTTTAGGGCTAAAAAAAAAAGTCCAAATAAACGGTCCCGTGATGAAACAAAAATTATTTTTATGCCATTAACTATGGTGATTTTAAAGTCAGCAATGTTTTGCATGGCAGGTTAAAAAAAAACGAAATCTAGACCTAGAAGAATATGGGGAAACATGAAATGGAAGAAAAACACTAACTTTATTTGAATGGTGCAATGCTTGGAAGAATGCTTTGAAACTACAAGGTATTAGAGCCATTTTTTCAAGTAAAAATTGTATTATATAATGTGATAATGATGTTTTAAAATCATTTCATATCTTTAATTATATATTTAAAAAAATTTGCCTAGGATTTGTCTTGATTTTTAACTTAGACATAGAGGTACATGTATGTTAATCATAAGAAGAACCTATTATCTAATGATTTCTATTATTATTCAGTATTAATATAAGGAAATTAGTCAATTAAGGGAATTAAAATAAAGTGACCACTATTAAGAGGCAGCCTCTTCTTGTGTGTATGGCTGTTTTTTAATTATACGGTCTAAAATTTTTGAAAAGTAACAAAAAATAGCCAAACCGTGGCTATAGTGAACCAAAAGCTCTGTCCCATTGGGGTTCACTATAGAGGGGTTTTACTGTATATACAGTAAAACCCCTCTATAGTGAACCCCAATGGGACAGCTTTTGGTTCACTATAGCCATGGTTTGGCCATTTTTTTTTTTTTACTTTGCCAAATTTTTATGCCGTATAATTAAAAGACAGCCATACACACAGGAAAAGGCAACCATTTAATGTTTTAATTCCCTAAATTGACCTATTTTCTTACACTAATGCTGAATATCAAAAGAAGTCATTTGATAATGGATTCTTCTTAACGTTAGCATACATGTTTATATATAAACCTCTATTATGTATAATTTAAAAATTAAAATAAATCCCTTAGGGGCTAAGCTTTATTAATTATGTATTTAAAAGGTATAAGAGTATTTTAAAACATCATATATCATCAAATAATATAATACTCAATTAACTTTTAAAATATCTTAATATCTTGTTTGAAATTGAAATTTGAAAATCAGAATTGGCATAAAATATTCTTATTTCCATCAAAGGAATAAAGCTCAGTGTATTCTGAATCAATTGAAAATTAATCAAAAGTATCCGATTCCGAAAAATTGGACGTGAAACATGTTGATAGGCTAGCACGATCGGTAAAATCGCCTTTAAAAAAAATACAAAATTTCAAACACAAAATTGGTAGTAAAACAGGTGGACAGCGGGAATATCTGAGAACCCTGAATGAGTCATATACCTAACAAGGCTATTGTTCTAAAAATAGAACTGTAGCCCGTGAGATTGGGGCACTTTTTTTTTTTTTCAGTTTTCACATAATATTCTGAAGTATAGATTTAGTTTTGTTTTAAACCTCAAGAATTTTGCTCAATCACTGAAAAGAGATTTTAAAAAAATGTTTTCATTCTCACAGCTTTCTGGCAAAAGATTTCAATAAATTGATGAAAAATCCAGATGACAAGGATGTAAGTTGACCCACCTGGGATGGTGCAGAAAATGAAGGGTGGTGAATCTGAGAAACATCTGGTTCTTCAAATTGATACACTCTTCACATTAATAGATTTGTATTAAACTTCTATCAGAATACGACATAACACCTACAGTTGATCCAAAAAAAGGTGCTATGAATGATGAAGATACCATGTAGTAGGAGAGATGATAGAGTGCTAAAGTACAGACTATTCTATATACAGTTACGAGCATCATGCGTTCTTAATAATTCTTCATCTCTGTCACCCTTTGCTTTTTTTTTGGAATGGTGCTCTCCTATTGGTTGGCTACGATCACGCCACCTTTGCCCCCCCCCCCCACTCGCTTTTTGGTTTTTGTAACTATTGTGTTGGAGTGGGTCACGCCTTAAATAATCTATTGTTAACAATAATTCTTTATAGGTCCGCAAATATCGAAAGTATAGGTATGTAGCTTTTGTACTATTAAGGTGTATATATATTATATTTTTAAATAAAAAAAGATGGGATTTCTGTTGTTTTTGATCATCTTGATGATTATGCTATGGTGGTGCAGTCGTGGTTGAATAATTGATAGAATAATAATAAAAATAGTCTTGATCACAGATATTGCTTTAATTGAGCTAAGTGATATATATAAAAAACATAATTTGATTAAAGTACTGCCTGGCTTAAGGCGAGTAGAATAAGGAAAACAAAAGATTATTTACATAATTACAAAAGTTTTGGATCGGCCAACGGGGAACAACAACAATGAGTATATATAGAGAAAGCGTGACCTCTGGCGGTCGATTTATACAGAGTATTTATATCTATGAAATTATAATTTTTTTTAAAATAAAATATTTTAATATAACATATATATACACATACTTATGTACATATGTAAGTACTATTATCATTAGGGATATATATGTCACATCTACATAAATGTAGATATAATACTATGTACTCTACTAATATATGCATTTATATAAGGCGCCAATTTATAATTGTAACAAATAGTATTTGAATAAAAACATTCAATCGGGTAAAACACGGGCGTTGCCCGGGTCATTCGGCTAGTAGATTAGAAACATAATTTAGCCAACAATGGTTACCTAAGTAGAGGAGATGATTAATCAAGATAAGCACATGATTTTCCAGGAAGAACAATGCCCTTGTTTACATAGCAGCCATTGGCCTGCTGATTGAAAAGGACTAAAATTATCATTAGATCTTGTGTATTTCATTGAATCTCTTTTATAAATATTTTTACAACTAAATCAATTATTTATATTCTCATCGCAGAGAAAGGGCAGTAGTAAGTTGTATTATTAAAATATAAATTTGTTCTATAAAAATAATTTTAAATTTCATTAAAGTCTGTGTGTGTTTTCAATCAAGTTTTTCTATAAGTTTCTTGTATCACCTTATAAGGGACTAATATAGTCTTCTCAATTTACGACCTAATCATTCAACAAAAGTTATCTTGAATCTTGTAATTTTTTATCACAATCATCTGTATCATGTTCAATTTGAAGGAGGTCTGTCATTGCAGTCTCACTATCTCTAAGGTAATGAAATGCTATTTGTATATTCACTAGTGAATTTAAACAAAAAATTAAATATAATTAGATAAGCCAGTTCAGAAAACATTTCTAAATCTTAATAAAAGAAAATAAGACCTAATCCAAATAATTTATTAGTGTGTGACGTTTCGGCAACAA